AGTTTTGAAATGTGGTTTTAAAACATATAGCTAAGTAAAATGTATCATAATATATTTAACACTTCAGTTAAAATTATTGTGGATGGTACATTTACCACAATTAATTTGTCAAGGGTTTAAAAGGAAGACTGAGTATTTTAGGTATAAAATCACAAAGCAAAGGGTTGAAGATAATCTTTTATTGTTGTTTTCGTAAAGCTCTTAAAGTACAAGTGTTTTTGCTTTAAAAATTACGGATCCTCTTTTCAAGAGAAGTACATGGGTATTTATAATAGATTAAGTCGCTAGGTCAACTCTAAAGAGATAAAGAAGTTTTTATATTTCTCAGGGATTTCTTTTCTCTGAAGTCGGCCACGCCTAATGGGCCTCGTCGCTCAGCTCGGTCCACCTTGTCAAGTCTTGGGCTCGGCCCACCTCTTTGTTTCTTGGGCCTCACCTTGTAACGGGCTCGCCGCTCTAGTCTTGCCATTTCGACAGCTCCGTTGTGTAGTCCGTTTTGCCGGATTAACCACCTCGTCGTGTAGTCTGTATTACCGAAGTAGTCACCTCTTCGTGTAGTCCGTCTCATCGGAGTAGTCACATCGTCGTGCATTCATTCTTACCAGAGTAGTCACCTCGTCGTGCAGTCCTTCTTAACGGAGTAGTCACCTCGTGGTGTAGTCCGTCTTATCGCAGTAGCCAACTGGGTTCACCTAGTCATTTCTAACCCAGTTTCCATACTTAGCCATTTTCTTGCTTTAATCTTACTGGGGGTGGAATCTGAACCCTATAATGATGAAGAATGGTATAGTTTTATGGACGATTATGTTCTACTTTAATAGTCGTAAATTTTGCCTCTTTTTCTTTTCTACGGTGGATATTCTTCTCTATTAGTTGACGTTAAGTTGACGAAAAGATGGATGACCTAGATCCAAAAAGGTGTTGATTCAAGTATTCGTTTTCTCTAGTTTATGAGATTTTTTTGCACTAGAGCTAATATTTAAAAGTACAAAGGAAGACGGAACCCTTGCGGGTGTTGATTGAATAAATGAAATTCTTCAAGATGGTTTTATATCTTCAAACGGCTATTCAAACAATGAAGACGATGAAGTAGATTTGATACTCTATTATCTTCCAAATTCTATTGAATTGTGTTATTTTTTTATTACGATTTAGTTGAGTTTTTCTGTTTTTTACGATCCTTTGGTTGTTGATTCATTACCATAGTCTCTATTGATGTGCGTAAAATGGTTTCGTTTTTCTTTGTACGTTAATATCTTTTGATAAATAATAGTGTGGATTGATTCTATAAAATAAAGAATTTTTTCAGTGGTAAAAACAAAGTCGTAATTTCACATAAATGTGTCGTATTATCATCAATTAAAACTAACATTTGTAATTAAATCGTTACAATTTGCTAATATATAGGAGTCATTTAGAGATAACAATAAATGAAATATGATATGGAAACAAGAACATAAAATCTAAATGTGCATCAAGTAATAATATTTTTTGTTCTTGTCAGACGAATATACCCCTCGACCATAATGGTTTCATTCAAAACATACAATGTCCAAGGAACTCGTTTTTCAAAGTTCATCCAAAACATACAATGTTTGTGTCACTTTCCCACGTCGCATTCGTACTACAAATTATTGCGTTCTTGGATATACCAAAAATAAACCGAAATAAGGATTGAAAATCTAGTTACAAAATAAATAAATAAAGTCTTCCATTCATTTACGGAGATTGGGGAAACAGGGGTAAAAGCGTCATTTTAAAAAAGAAATAGAAGTGGAAAACGAGGTGAGCCGAATTCGAAGCCTTTGGACCCGTTTTATTTACTCGCCATTCATTTTCCGCTTCTCCTTCAAT